AGGCTCCCGACAACCACTAATCTGCTCCCTATCTGTTCAGATTAGCTGAATCCAGAGAGTTCACATACGTGGAATTATTCAGTGTGTGGTCCTCTGGGACCCACTTCTTGGACTGAGCACACTCTTCTCAAGGTTTATCTGTTCCCAAAGGTGTATCAGTACTCGATGCCTTTTTATGGGCCAATAATATAGTCCATTGTGTGGGTGTGGCTGGTTTGTTATCTTAATGCCTTTGATTAGGGCACTGCCTTTCCAGTTTGTGTAACTATCGGACCCATGAGCGCACCAGCGAGTGTGTGACATCAGCTCAGGTCCACACAGAAAGCTGAGGACCAAGTGCGTTTGCAGGATGAATTCCCCCCCTACCTCCCACGTGCCAGCTGACCCTCCAGCATCCCGGGGAAAGAGGAGCGGACAGCAGAACAAACGCGGTCTCGGGCGTGGCCTGGCTGCTGCCGAGTCTCCCCTGTGTTTTGCAGCTTCAGCGCAGGACAAAGAGCACCCTGGTATCTAATGCCCGAGATCTGAACCCACCACCTCTTACCACCCACCCTCTCCCAGCCTCAGCTTCCCCATGCAGACAACAAGGATAACAACAGTGCCCCCTCGTAGAGTGTGCACAGGGATTAAAGAGAAAACCACGTGCAGTCTGTGGTTCAGCCCCTGCCACACCGAGTAGGTGTTCATAAAGAAAGACCCGTTTATCTGATTTTCACAGAAAAATAAATTCATGTGAGCATGGAATTGTGAAAATCCTGCCAACCCCCAGAACGGTAACCCCAACTTGACCCCCAAATGGGGCGCTCCCCGCTTGCTGCGGCCACACTGGGACGCTGCCAGCAAAAACACTGCTTTATGCAGCTTCGCGGTCCGTCGCTGTGCCCGGCCTCCTTACCCCACTGCACCGTCCACGTTAAAGTATGAGAACGAAACTGCTTTACATGAAAACTTTAGAAAATGGATGAAATTCAATCCCTTCCGAACGCCATGGTTACATTCCATTCTAAAGAAATCATGAATCTGTGGACGGACTTTCACTCTTACTTCCAAATATAGCCAAGAACTCTACATTCATCAAGAGCGCCCTTCTGCCAAAACACACAAATCTGGGTCTTTAACTCGGGGTCACCCTGGAGACAGGAAAGTTCATTGGCTCCAAAAACATGTCACCATGTCCATTTTCTTAACAGCAAAGAAAACTGCTATCAGAAAGTTCATCCCTCAATTTTGCTTAAGAGTAAAGGGTGAGGCAGGAGGTAACAATAAAATTGGCGATGGGAACCCTGGCTGGTGTGGCTAAATGGGTGAGCGTCATCCCATGCACCCAAAAGGTTCAACTCCTGGTCAGGGCACATGCCCAGGTTTCAGGCTCAATCCCCAGGAGGGGGAGTGCAGGAAGCAGCCAATGGATGCATCGATGTTTCCCTCTATCCTTCTCCCTTCCTCACTCTCTAAAACCAATAAAAACTTTTTTTTTTTATTGATTATGTAGCAAGCTTTCAACATTTTGCTTTTTAAAAAAAATATATATGTTTTATTGATTTTTTACAGAGAGGAAAGGAGAGGGATAGAGAGTTAGAAACATCGATGAGAGAGAAACATCGATCAGCTGCCTCCTGCACACTCCCCAGTGGTTATGTGCCCGCAACCAAGGTACATGCCCTTGACCGGAATCGAACCTGGGACCCTTGAGTCCGCAGGCTGACGCTCTTATCCACTGAGCCAAACCGGTTAGGGCAAAAACTTTTTTTTTTTAATGGCTGCAGGAGCCGTCAATACTGGCCAAATCCTGGCCTCAGTTTTCTCATCTATAAATAGACAGCTTGGACTAAATCAACGGAAGGTGATACATGCGTTAATTGCAAGCAGAAAAGAGACCATTTGGGCAATTCCAGGATCTTCTCAAATCAGTAATGAAAAAATTACTCCCTTTTCAATTCTCTGGAAACCCTACAGATTGGGTTAGGAAGAAAGTCTCAGATTGGTGCCATTATGTGTCTTTAACACTTTGATGACAAAAGGAATGGACAAGGAATGGTATCTGGTGAGGTTAAATTTAATTTTAAGTCAATTTAAATAAAATTTAATTTAAATAAAAATATTAAGTCAATACTAGTTCAGGAGGTGAATGGGTAAGACAAAAATCTTGAGAATGGCCCCAAATAACCGACATTTGAATCTTCCCACTGTGAACCCTATAACCATTCATGCGTTTTATTCAAAAAGGGGAAGCTATACTACAAAGTCATCCCCAAGACTAGATTCTGATTACCTCTTGAGCCACACTGCATCTTAAGTAGGACTGGTTGAAGACAGCCACATGCAAGAACAATCAGTTTGTGGGAACACCGGACACGTGTGGTTAGCAGGCTGCATGAGAATTCACAAACCAGCTCAAAGCCTCTGTCTAGATCAGTGATGGCGAACCTATGACACGCGTGTCAGAGGTGACACGCGAACTCATTTTGTTGGTTGATTTTTCTTTGTTAAATGGCATTTAAATACATAAAATAAATATCAAAAATATAAGTCTTTGTTTTACTATGGTTGCAAAGATCAAAAAATTTCTGTATGTGACACGGCACCAGAGTTAAGTTAGGGTTTTTCAAAATGCTGACACGCCGAGCTCAAAAGGTTCGCCATCACTGGTCTAGATCCTGGCTGCTACCCTTCAAATCCCCGCCCAGCCACTCACTAACTGTGTGACCCTAGACAAGTTGCATAACCTCGCTGGGCCTCAGTTTTCTCATCTATGAAATGGGGATGGTAACAGTACTTACACCCCATCAATTTGTCATTAAGAGTAAAACTAAGCCACATACAAAAAGTGCTTCTAACAGTGTGGAACCCACAGTAAAAGCCATGCACACATAAGCTGTTGCTGCTGTCATCTTAGCCAGTACAACAGACTCCAAGATGGTCGGCCTGGTGACCTTCTCATCGATGAAGAAGGTCATGGGGTGTCATGCCTGTGACGATGCTACGTAAGATGGAAACGTCCATCTTGCTCGCAGGCTCTCTCTCCCTGGCTTTGGTGGAGCGAGCTACCATGTGGGGAAGACCCACACAGCAAGGGGGGCCTCCAGGCCACAGCCAGCTGGGAACTGAGGTGGGGAAACCTTCAGGCGAAACCCCGACCCTAGGACTGCGCGCAGCCAGAGGCCTGAGGAAGGACCCAGTGAGCCTGACCCACACAAACTGATAAGAAGCCTGTGAGGAGTTGTAGCGATCTGTTATGCAGCAACAGGTAACTAACATAATTCCTTGAGAGAAGGAATTTTTTTAGATGAACAGCAAAAACGCACTGGTAAAACATTAGGTCTATATGTTTCATGCCATCAGAATTGAAAAAGATTCTACCTTTAACACAACATAACAGCAACTCTTTATCATAAATAAGACTTCAAGAATTCAAGAAACAACTGTTCTTAACTAGTTCCACCCATTCTCTCTATAAACATAATAGTTTACTCACTAGTAACCAATTTACTTACTCTCAAAGAGTACATTTTTATATTTACCTACTTAACTTACTACATCGTTAGATTAATACTCACTAATACTATTAACCGTTACTGACAGTGACACAACCACGATGAGAAGTTAGGGAACAACAGGCACCCATTTGACAGCTCGGCACCAACCACCTACTGTGCGCCTGACCTTCTGGGGCTGGCATTCCAATGGCTGTTCTCACCACCGAGTGGTCTGCTGGAACGTGCCTGCGCATCACCGCAGAGCACACGCACAGGTCGCCGAGATCTCCATGTTTTATTCGCCCGACTCAACAAGAGCATAAGAGCACTTGGCAAATCAAGAGAGAAAAGAAAAACACCGAGAGAGAGAGAGAGAGAGAGAGAGGGCCTTCCTTCCCGTCCTCTTGGTTCCTGGAAAAAACTAGGTGTGGGCATCATACCTTGCATGCCTCACATTTAAGCCTGTCACTTTGGTTCCATGTGGCTTCTAAATGCAAAACAAACCAACCCCAAGTCTGTTGTTAACTGAAGGATCAGAAACTTGTTCCCGCCGTTAAGGAAAACCTGTCCGTCATGAGGGACTCCGTGCTGAAGGGTAATTCTGGTTCTAGGCCATCGTCGTCCTGTGAGGTACGGACTTTAGGATCTGAGCCCTCTCGGAGTAAGGGTCAGTCTAGTCTACATTTCTCTGCGGAGGTCCAACGTCAGGCCCAAAGGGGAGAATTCAGTCTTGGAGCTCCTCAGTGAAAACGGGGTCTGCCCTCCTCAACAGCCCCTGAGAGCTGGGGGGTCGTGACCCAAACAGTACCCGCCAGGAAGCGGGTCCCCTGACCGCCCGCCCACCCGGTGCCAGCCGGCACTCACTTTGCTAGTGTACTTGGCGATGTCCGCGGCGACGTCGGCCGAGGCAGTGGCGATGGGAAGGTCTGCGTTGATTGAAGAGGCCAGGGTGCTCGTGGCCCCTGAGCTGGTGACCAGGGGTGACGACTGAGTGCTGGTCACCAGGGTGATGGTGGAGGTGGACGGGCTCTGCGTGATCTCCTTCTGCTGGACAGCTGGGGAAACAAAGGGTCCCGGTGAGCCCCGGCTGCAGGAAGGGCCGTCCCCACGGTCCCCACGCGCAGCTGTGGTGAGGGCGGGAAACCGATAGACAGACACCCGCGAGCTTTCACTCTCAGGGGACAGAGACGCTCTCCTAACCAAACTCCAGCCAGGCTGCTCCAAGCCCTTTCTCGACTAATCCTCTAACGTGGTCTGTAAAGACTTCAACAAGCTTAACATGGCCTCAAACGGCTCCAGGCAGCATGCCTCAGGTGACCCCAGCCTCCCTGAGAAAACTCAAGGCCACCCAAATAAATGACTGTTCCAGCCAACACCTACCGATGAGGCCCGTCTCCCAGCTCTGTGGGAAGAAGGGCCTCGCTTCGATAGGTACCAGTCAGCAAATTCAGGTGGTTTCACATGGACCAACCCCACCTCCCACTTTTTGTAAAATTTCACTTCCCTGACTCTACTGAGTCCCCACTCACCCCCCTTGCTATTCCCTCGTCCTCCTTTTAAAACACCCAGTCACCTCTGTACAAATCAAAGTTCACAATGGACTTCTTTCCCTACTGCAGCAGGACATTGGCAATTAAATTCTGTCCCTCCCACTTCAACTAGTGTCCAGCTTTGTTGGTCTTTGACACAAGACAACGTGCAAACTGAGAACCACAGCACTGGGCCCTCTTCTTGCCTAAGCTCGGAATGCTCCTGGGGTCCGAAGGCAGAAGCCTGGGACCCGCCACCTCGATCTCAGAACCCGATCAACACTTTAAACAGCGAGATCAAACCAGTTGTACCCCAACTTTGCCTGTGCAATCGTCCAGTGTTCCTGCTCCCCAGTCTTGGAAGGGTTTCTACTGGGGAGCCCAATGCAAGATCTGGCTGGCTGCGTTTTAACATCCTGCCCTGATGCTACTCCTAAGAGTCCGACTAGCCCTGGCCGGTGTGGCTCAGTTGGTTGGAGGCCATCCCGTACCAGCAGATGGCAGGTTCGATCCCTGGTCAGAGCACGAACAATGTTTCTCTCATATCGATATTTCTCCCTCTCTCCCCCTCACTTCCCCTCTAAGGTCAATTTAAAAAAGAGAGAGAGAGAAACTAAAAAAAAAAAAAAAAAAAGAGTCCTAATCACTAGGGTGCACTCACTACACAAGTTTCAGTGAAGGAGCCCAACCTTCAAGGGTCTAGATCAGGGGTGGGCAAACTTTTTGACTCGAGGGCCACAATGGGTTCTTAAACTGGACCGGAAGGCCGGAACAAAAGCATGGATGGAGTGTTTGTGTGAACTAATATAAATTCAAAGTAAACATCATTACATAAAAGGGTATGGTCTTTTTTTTTTAGTTTTATTCATTTCAAACGGGCCGTAGTTTGCCCACTGCTGGGCTAGATGCAGGTGCCCTGTGGAGTAAGATCTATGCCGGCGCTCACAAAAGCTGAGCAAACGGGCATCCCCTTTGTCAGCTCCAGATGGAGCGCCCTGCACGGCCGGAAGAGATTTTTATTCTGCACCTTCAGCAACTGGTTCCTGATGCTGGCTCTTCCTGTGGATGTGGCTAATTCCTCGCCATTAAGGTAGCCTCTGCTACCAATTTCTCACTGTACTCTTTCCAAAATAACGCCAAAAGGTTCACGACAGGTGTGCACAGGGAACGCACACAACGGCAGGCATCGCAGCGCTGCTCCCAGGATAAAACCGGAAGCAGCCTTCACACAAACCAGGGAACGCTACGCAGCAGTCTGCAAGAGCAAGGGAGCGCTGTGTGTACTGACGTGGACAGACCTCCAAAACATGCTGATGGGTGAAGGACAATGGTACCATTTTCATGTTGTAAAAAAGAAAAAAAGGAAAAAAAAAAGTAGTGTTTTTATGAAGAGTCATATATATGTATAAATATATATGCATACATGCATAAAAAAGGTTGTACGGTTCACAGTGGCCGCTGAGACGCATAAAATGAAAGGTCAGTCCATCGGGACAATAGACGTGTGTCAATAACTGGAGAATATGCACATGTATTGTTTGCAAAATGAAAAAAAAAATGGAAACAAATGTAAAAAATGTGAGTTGCGAAACAACTTTTAAAAATAATGCCAAATGGAATGTGCACGGCCTTGGGGTTGTCGTGGCCAGGAAACGAAGGGGAACTGAGAAAAACAAAACAACGGTTTCTGTTTTGTGTCTCCTGTCGATGTGGCACAGAGGGCCGGGGTGCCACGGAGAGCAGAAGGGGAGCTGGTACCTTTCACAGCCTGTCTGGTCTGATATCGCGTCCCCTGGGAAGACTGAGGCTGCTGCTGCTGGCTTTGCTGCTGCTGCTGCTGCTGCTGCTGGCGCTGCATCTTCTGCATGTGCCACTTTTGGGAGGACGTTTGAAACTTACTTGAGGAGTTCCACACGACCCGCTGCACGGCCGGGGCAGTCTCCTTCGGTAAAAGCGGCCTCTGCTTTTTCACTGGGCTTCCCGTGATGGTGGCGGTGGCGGTGGCCGCCGGGACCGTGACCGTGGACGTGGTGCTGGTGGTGGCCGCGACACCAGCTGTGGGAGTTTGGGAGGACGCGCGGGTGAGGACCGGTGTTTCGGGGGGAGACTGGCTGCCGGCCGTAGTGGACAGTGGTGGAGCTTTAGCTACAACTAGAGTCACTGCGTGGAAAAAATAAACAAAGAGTGGATTTGAGTCAGGTTTGCCGGCAGGGCCTCTACACCAGCAAGTTCTCAGGGACACAACCTAAGGCCCAAATAACCAGCAAATTCAGTGCATGCCCAGGAGCACATTCTCCCCTTATCTCCTTAGCGCCTCACCTTGGAGACACGCATGCCAAGGCCCCTGGGGGAAACAGGTGACCCAGGCCCTGCCCTCAAGCTGCCCATCAACTCCTGGGCTGGTTGGCTGCAACCGTCTTGTTTTCCAAAGTGAGACTTGGGTAAGCACCTGAGAAAGACCCAGCCCAACTGAATCCAGAGATCAAGAGGAGCCCTTTGGCTAGGTACGCAGGTGCCTGGGAGACCCGGTGGCTTCCCAATGGCCCAAGCACCGAGTCACATTAAATCATTCCGAAGTAAAGGCATCCTTGTCATCTCTCCCGAGTCCCTCCAGGACAGAGTCTCAGCATGGTGGAGCCCTGACACCTAACCCGAAAGGAACCCGCCCAAGACCAGAGCCCTCCCAACACAGTGGTATTTACCTAGACTTCCGGAGCCTGGCTGTGTGTTGACTGTGTTTCTCCTGGCTTGTACTTTAGGTATAGCACACACTACTACTTTTGCTACTGTGAGGTGGCACGTTTAAGTCTAAAATAGGCTTAGATTTTTTTTTTTAAGAGTAGCTTGCTTCAAATAAAAATATTAAGTCAGTAATTATACAGGCAGAATTTGGGAATGACAACAAACAACCACCATGAATGTCTGAAGTTTGAGAAAAGCCGCGTTATGGGGTATGTCTTCTGGGAGGAGTTGGGCTGTGGGGCCAGGGAGTAGCATTTCAACAGGCAGAGATGAGAATTTGGAGCGGAACAGCATTCGCCAAGATGTACTTAGGAACAGGGAGCATTGCACTGCGGTGACTGAGGGTAGGCGGTGAGGAGTAGTCGGCAGGCAGATGAGAGCCAGGAGCGCTGAGCGCTGCAAAGGGGATGACCATGTGAGGCCGCCACTTGTAAAGGGGTCCCAGCCACCGGGGAGAGGAGTCCTCGAGGACCACACACAAAGCACAGGTGCAAGTCAGCACCTCAACCTGACAATGTGCCTGGACACCAAACCTCTTTCCATGAGGACTCCGCCTGTCTTTTTAGATTGATATCACCTGGGGAAGATCTGAGCTTGGCTATTCTTCTAAGGGAGATGCTCGGTGAGCTGTGGGTTTGGGGATCTCCAAGGAAATTGAGAAGAAAAGATAAGCTGACCTTTCTGACTGGGGGCTTTCTTGGTGGTTATCACATCTGGCTGGCCCTCCTCATCCTCAGCCAAGTTCAAGGGCAAGAGCACAGGGTGGGGCTGGATGGGGAACTCTTCCTACAGTGATGAGCCCCAATCCTTTTCCAGGACACCCGACCCTGGGCCCCAGAGCCCCTGCCCTTCTAGCACAGGTGGCTTGGAACCAGGCCCTACTAAGAGCCCACAGGGGGCAGGGGGCCAGCAGGATGTCCAACCTGCAGAAGGGCCTTCAATACCTCCCCTTTCCTGCCATGTGACCAAATAATATGCTGTTCCTGTTGACTAGCTAGCCGAATCCTCCCTGGCGCAAAGGGGAACCACAGAAGGGTCCTGTTCTCTCTCGGGGCTCTGCCTATGGTAACAGTTGTGCAGGAATCATGCCTGGCCCGCTTTTCCAAATAAAAACCAGGAGTGTGCAATCTGAAAAGATTCCAGGCTCCAAGTACTCTTTGGCGGTTATCATTCAGACACTAAAATATTTCGTTTCTAGGGGATTCTGATGATTTATGGAGAAGTAGAAAAAAAAAAGCTGTGGGAAATTCCATCTGTCCTAGAAATTCAGAGCATCTGATCCATCACTTGTAGCCCAATAAAGGGTGAATCTCTGAAAGGCCCGCACACCAGGAATCGCCCATCAAGCTCATCTACTTATTCCAGAGTTTGGTCACTGTCGTGTGCATACAGGACCTTGTAAGAGAAGGATGGGAATTTCTGATGTTACAGGCAAGCAGAGCAAAGGTCTCCAAGTGAACTCCCTTTGCCTCTGCCTGAGATCACTAGCGGTAAACGCTGTTTTACTATTTGAGGATTCCTACACACCAGCTGCATTCCTACCTGCAGGTGAGTTGGAGGTCACCACAGCACACTCCAAAATGCCCTTCACTTTAATAAATTTATAAGTAAAAGCACATCATTGAAAAGATGCTCTAAACGCAAAGTTCGACATGAAGCCGATTCTTCAAGACCAAACCATCATCAGGGGGCTCTGGATGTAAGACCAGTCAGTTCTGCCCCACCCGTAAGAACCTGCTCTAACTGAATAATGTTTTATAATCATCTTCAGCTTAATCCACCACTCACTCGGGGGTTTCCTGGAGAAATTTCCCTCAGATGTCTACTTCATCTAATCAATGGAATTTTTTTATTTTTTGGAAAATGTGACACCTTTTAAGGGACTGTGTTTCCCTTTTTGCTTTGACTGCTAGGGAGCTCACAGCAATAAGGAAAACCCAACTTTATCTCATGATTATGTACTCTCGTCAAATCCTTTCTGGAAGAGGAAGAGGCATAAAACCAATCAATCGAAAGATTTGTTCCGGAAAGAAAGGAACAGTATAAATACAACATTCATAGGAGCACTCCCATCTGCACCCAACTAGTCCCTCAAGTGGAACAAAGGCTGCTCCTACTGTTCCCTGTGAAACAGCAGAGGAGGTCCCTCAAACCCCATTCGCTACATGGTCTCATTTTTCAGACACCATCCATAAATCTAAGAGATGGCTCGGGCATGGTGTGGTGGTCGATCCTTCCTGTGCCCCCAAATGCTCCCTCTCCCTCCATCGCATCATCCAGGGACATCTCGGCCTCTTGTGATGACCTGCAGGATGCAGGTTCCAGAGCAGCTCGGCTGATTAACCACCGAGGACAGATTCTCAAGGCCCATCCCCGACTTGCCTTTCAAGCTGCCAGGCTCAGAAATGCCCAGGGGCATAGAATCACATCTTACTCAAGGGCCTGGGTCAGGAGCTAGGTCCTATCAGAAGATGGGCTCAGAAATGCCCAGGGACATAGAACCACATCTTACTCAAGGGCCTGGGTCAGGAGCTAGGTCCTATCAGAAGATGGGCACAGTCAAAACTGAAACCCGCAGTCCCTCAAGTTCCTCACACAGTACCTACAGCCTGATGGCTACCGTCTCTACTGTGTCCTCAGGCAAGGTTCTCCTGAGCCCCCAGGGAATTCTCCAGTCTTTCTTGGGCTTGTTGGGTTCTCCGCACGACCCACTTGCCACCCCAACTGAAAAATGCTCGGACTGCTTTGTCCATGGGAAGGACACCCTGCAAATCATTCACACGTTCCTTCTGGGGGTGTCAACATGCCTGGGCTCCGCCGGCTTCGGCGGCCACGGCTGGTCCAGGCTATACGGCAGCAATGACAGCACTGCTGAGACTCAGGCAGCGGTTCTCACCGGGCAGAGTTTGCCTCCAGAGGACATCTGGCAATGTCAAGCCGCTTTGAATGGCCTCAACCGGGCAGGTGCTATGGGCATCCAGCGGGGAGCAGCCAGGAATGCTGCTCAACACCCCCACTGCACAGGACAAGGCACTATGCAGCACCAAAGGCCAGTAGCGCCCGAGCTGAAAATCCCCAGCATCAGGTGGGTTAAGTGCAAAGGTGGTGAAGACCGATTCGGGTGTGCACCGCACAGTGCCCCCTGGAATTCTAGGGCCCCAAGAAGTGCTCGCCATCCTGGCACCACCTACCAAATGGTCTCATGTTCTGGTAAGAAAACGCACGTTGAGGTGCCTGGGCAGCATGAGGGGAAGGAAGGGAAGCTAAACTTACCAAGATATTCAAAGGGAACACTCCTAACAATTTCAATCTTGTCAAATGTCTAAATGTTAACAAATACTTCGGGAAAATGAAAAAAACATATCAGGGAAGAAGGTGCTTAGGCTAAGAATAACTTGACTACCAGGAGCAACTTATTTTCTAAGAGATTTTTCTCAACTCAAAACTCAACTCAAAACCATCCATGCTGAGTCCTGAGCAGGTGAGGGGAGGGCAGGCCCAGTTTAAGTCCTCGTCCTATCAGATGACCAGCGAGGTGACCGTGAGCCAATCACAGCTCTGCTCTGTCTCCTGTGCTGACATTAGAGGGTCACACAAAGGAATGGTGGCACTGGAAACCAAACCAAGAAACCGGGAACTGGGATCGTCACTTACCATCCTGCTTGGGAGATGGTTCTTTGGGTTCCTTCTTGTTTTTCCGACCCTCCCGCCCAGAATGGTCTTCTCCTAAATCTATGACAAGTTCGCTCTCCGAGTCAGAGTCTAGGCCCAAGTGGACCGTTGGGGAATCCGTCTCATCTTTCCCCTTCAGCTTATCCTTTGTGGGGTGAGGCGAGGGTTTGGCTTTCTCGGAGAAGTCCTTCTCGGGCGGGGGGCTCGCCTTTTCCTTGACTGAGCCTGGGTCTGCTTTCTCGCTGGGGGGCGAAGCGCTTTTTAGCTCCTCTTTAATCTCCACCGGGCTGGCCAGCTTGGGCTTTGTTTTGACAGCAGACAGCTCTTTGTCCACCTGAGCGCTCTCCTTGTCTTCCACGTCTTCCGGCTCATTCTTGGACTTCTGCTCGTCATCACTGATATACTCACTATCGCTACTGTCCGACTTCTCAGAATCCTCCGAATCGCTGTGCTCTACCGCCGTGTAAACATCTTCCGAGATTTCATTTATGCCTAAATTCAAAAAGAAAACCCAGCATGTTGGCGTAGTCACAACATAAAGAGCAGGACCAAAAACGCAAACATTCTCCACACCAAACGCTGGAAATAAAGAAAGAAAACATTTCAAATCGCATCACATGGCCTGGGGCGGTGACAGTGAACCAGGTGCCCCCGAAGTCTGCTGACAAATGGAACCTGTGTTCGGAGAGGGTTCCAGAGACAACGTGGGACCAGACAACATAAATCCGGGAGCTAAATCTTTGCAGTATTGATAACTAACTGGGATACGGGAAATGGGAGGGATGGAAGGGAACACCAGAGACACTTAAAACTGATCCATTTTGCCCTGGCCGGTTTGGCTCAGTGGATAGAGCGTCAGCCTGCGGACTGAAAGGTCCCAGGTTCGAATCTGGTCAAGGGCACATGCCCGGGTTTCGGGCTCGCTCGATCCCCAGTAGGGGGCGTGCAGGAGGCAGCCAATCAATGATTCTCTCTCATCATTGATGTTTCTCTCTCTCCCTCTCCCTTCCTCCCTGAAATCAATAAAAATGTTTTTTTTAAAAACTGATCCATTTTACAGAATAGAAAATAGAGGCCTAGAGCAATCCCTTGTCCTAGGACACAGAGAAAACCAAGGCAGGTAAGGCGGAAACCCTGGGCTCCTGACTCACCCAGTGCTGTTCTCACACATTCCCAAAGCATGAAGGCCCTTCACCTTGTGTCCAGCCAAAGCCTTAAAGCGGAGACTGCAAACTCACAGCCGGGGAGCCACATCTGACCACCAGCACATTCTATTTGGGAAGCAATGGTTGGGCCCACAGGGTAGTTTGTTGTTTGCTCTTGCTTTTTAATTTGGAACTTATTGCCCAATTCACAAATCAGGTGATTTCACACAGACCTGGCCACTCTGGTTGACAGGCCCGCGAGGTAAAGGGCTTCTGCTGCTGTAGCTAATGGTCAGACATAAGGAGGACAAGCAGGAGGGAATGACCACACGCGTGACAGGAAAAGCTTGGGTACTAGAGCCCAAAGGACAGGAATTCAAATCCTGCACCACTGCTTTCACTCGCTGTATAACCCTGAACGAGTGACCTCCCTCTCTAAGCCTCAGTTTCTTCACCTGCAAAATGGGACTGATAATGGTATCGATCTCCCAGGACAATCTCTGCGCAGTGCTTCCTTAGCACCGTGCAGGGTGCATAGGAAACAATCCATGAATGGAAATATTAAAATTCTCATCAACAACAACAATAAATCAAGGAGTTAGACCACATGTGTGCAGAGAATCAAGAGAGATATTTAAATGGACTGCAAGACTTCATCCTTGCCAATCAGTGTCCTAATCAAAAACAGGCAACCCAACAAGGAATGTTCTCCGATCACAGCCCAGATGACTCCAAACCACAGCTCCTTGCTCACCCAAAAGTCCAAGGCCCCCACCAACACATAAACCTCACATGGAGTGGCTCTCTCAGGCCCAGCCATCCCCTACTTCTTTATAAATGTCCTCCATGCTTTATCTACTTATTCAACCAATATTCCAGAGCATTCCTATGTGCACAAGACCAAGTACCTTGAAGAATGCAAATCCTCCTAAGGCGACCTCCCTGCCCTCGATGAGCTACCAGCCTAGACTGGGAGGGAGACCCCCACAGAAAGGGACCACTGTTGCTTCTAAGCAATGACGTATCCAAGTAGGCGGGCAGATAGGGAGAGCAGTCGGAGGAGACTTCCTGGAGGAGGTGACACCAAGCTGAAGGCAGACAGCGTGGGGAAAGAGGGAGGGAGGCTATAGGTACAGAGGCAGGATGGGCAGGATGGGTCTGCTGGGTGAGGAGGCCCCGTCTGGAGGAGAAGCCTTTGTGTTGGACACTGGCAGAGCAAACCTGATCCTGATGCCAGGACACTGACATGCACAGAGAGGGTGCACAGAGGCAGACGCGGGAGGACCAGTCCGCTCCTACAGCACCTGCACCTGGCACCTGCAGGCTGTCACAGCCTAAGAACAAACTCAGAGGAGTTCAAAGAGCCTGTCTGAACAATTAGCCAATCTGAAATATTTTGCCACGAGTGGAAATATGTGTTAGTTGAGCAAATAACTCAGGGTTCGAAGCAGCCAGGATCCACCTTTGACCTCTCCTGGGTGGTGTCCCCATAAATGATGATGCTGATGATGAAAGCAAACCAAAGACATACCTAGTTGTGCTTTGCAACTCTCTATCGTCTTGTCAAGATTGAGCTGGAACCTGCTGCGGATCTGCCGCTTGGGAGAGATGAGAGGCACGGGGGCAGCCTGCTGCTGGACGGACTCGCTCAGCTCCTTCAAGTCCATCTCGGCCTTGCTTCGATCTGGAAGATACCGTCCCGCCCTCGTCAGACCAGGCATTACAGGGGTGAACAAACAACTTGCAAACAACACGTTTTAGAACATGGGAGGGAAAAGACCTAAAACATTTTTGTCATTTGTCCCAGCAATACCCTCGGCTCGATGACACGGGCTGACTTGGGAGATAGCAGCCCCAGAAAACACTTGGCAGGTTTACTCAGTATTTAAGACGCGCCGTCCCAGCCAGATGGTTGTCTGTGGAGCTCCGCATCGTCGGGGAATCTCGAACGCCAAAGGTTACCGTCCTGAGCTCAATCTCAGTGTTAGGAGAGCAAGTGGCACCCGTCTGGCCAGACTGCGCTTTAACTCCAAGGCCACATCAGAGAGGCCTTGTATCCAAGAGACGCCGAGCCCCTCTGAGAACACCCTGATAACTGGGAGCCGGGCTCCTCATTGATCACAGAAGCTTCACTCTTCCTCAACCTAGTCTGGAGCGTAAATTGGAAAGGCAGAGAAAACTAGAAAAAGAGGCAGACCTTCCAGCCAGCCAGCCTGCTGTAGCTCCCTTTGGGAAGGGAAACAGATTAGCCCTGGATATTACATCTGTGTCCTCTCACTCAGGTAAGAGGAGTCCGAGCTCCTCACCACAGTCCCAGGCAAAGGCCTCGGACTGCTGATGACTCACTCAGCCGAGGTCCTGCCCCCACCCCCCTCGGCCATGGGCTCTTTGTAAGAGCAACTGGGCCAGATTCCATGCGTTTGCATTTCTTTTTCTTTTCCTTCTTTAAATGCAAATGATTTTGCCTTTAGTATTCTTTGATAAGTCTTTTTAAAAAAAAAAAAAAGATTTTTTTATTGATTTTGAGAGAGAGGAAGGGAGAGGGAGAAACATCGATGTGAGAGGTTAAACATCAATCAGCTGCTTCCTGCATACCCCCTACCAGGGATCAAGCCACAACCTGGGCATGTGCCCTGACCAGGAATCGAACCCACAACCTTTCGGTGCTCAGGATGATGCCCAATTAACTGAGCCACACAGGCCAAGGCGAGTTTGCATTTCTGGAATTCCTTCCCTGCCTCCTCTAGTGTCCTGGAAACATAAGAAGGGGACAGATGAAGGCGGCTGCAAAGGCTCAGAATGCACGGGAGATTCGCAGGCAGGAGCAGCACCGCCCATCCTGCCTGCCACCCTCTGACCAACCCCCAGCTGAGAATGTGGGCATATGCCCCACCCAGACGGATTCCAGAAAAGCAGTCAGAAAGCACGTGGCATCGAGTCAAGGACACAGAGAAGCTACCACTGAGCCTGTCTGCACCAGCTCAGAGCTCACTCCCCGACTTCCCTTCATCTCCCTGCTACACCCACCCAAAGGCCGCCTCCGTCGCCCAGGCTGTTAGAGGCCCAGGATACAGAGGGAGAGCTGGACCACAAGGGCTGTTCAAAGCCTTCACTCTCTCCCTTCGATTTTGTTTTGTTTTCCGATTTGACTCACAAACCTTCTCCTTCGCTCAGGAACAGGCCACTTCCCCACACTGCACACTCAGACTCCTTCCTTTAAAGTGACCGCAGGTGGCCTCCCAAATGCCCCACCCAACACAGGTGACCAGAGCAACAAATTGCTCAGAGTTGATTTTATCACCACAACGAGGCCTCCACTAGGATGAGGAAGGCCCTTTGCCCAAAAACACACTCGGAGCGGGCTGCCAGGGAGATTCCAAAAGTGACAGCATCCTTGTCATTTAAGAAAAGGCTCTGAGAAACAGCCATGTGTGCGTGTGCGTGTGCGTGTGTGTGTGCGTGTGCGCGCTGACCAGGGCCTCTTCAGAGAGCCGGCAGCACCGGGACTGGAGACGCTCACAGGTGTGAGTGCACAGCCACTTTGGAGGGAAAGAATTTACTGCAGAAGCACCTTACAAAGCTAGGACAGAGGGAAGCAGTGATCAAACAGCAAGAAGGATAGCAAGAAGGAGGAGGACCAGGAAAACAAGAAAAACAGACACAAATAAAGACAGTACAAACAGGACGTAAGGACTTAACATTGAAGCTCCAAATGTGACAGCAAAAGGGAGACTATGAGGTCTGCCCGGTCATTTCTGTTCTCAGAAAGGAGGACGCATACTAGATTCCAGAGGGAAAAGGCAGCTCTTTCAAGCGTAAGTTAGAAAAGAAGCATCTCACAGAAATACTGTGAGGTGGGCTGGGAGGAGGGTTGCTACCCAAGTGATGTGCTCATCAATGTCCTCATAACATTCTCGTACAGTTCATCGATTCCATATAGCAGTTACAGAAAAACACGCTTACTATACCCAGGGGTCAGCAAACTTTTTCTGTAAAGGGCCAGAGAGGAAGAAACTGTATGGACCATACAATACAGGATTTAGTGCAAAAGCGAAAAGAAGCAATATGTAAACAAATGGGTATGACTGTGTTCCAATAAAACTTTATTCAAAAAGCAGGTGGGGGGCCAGATTTGATCTGCAGGCTACAAAATGTGCCATCACCTGTATGAGTCCCAGTGACTGCTAACCGGGCTACACATAGATATTACCTGTAGCGCTTCAAAAAAAAAAAAAAAATCCTAACACCTTGGCCAACCCCACCCCTCACCCCCCGCCCCCAGACTGGCCTGGGGTACAGCCTGAGCATTGGCCTTTTAAAAGTTCCCTGGGCGATGCTGACAGCAGCTAAGGTTGAGAACCCTGTGTTAGACCAATGTGAGTGAAGAAAACGCCTCATGATCTGCCTGAACCCTGGCGTATCTGTGTTGACACACAAAACCACACTTCTAAACCTTAGGGTTCATAGAAAGAGACCTACACCTCATAACAGAGAGGAATGAAAAGGCAAAGGGCCGCATTTTACAAAATAAGGCTGCTCGCGTCCATATGTTGCTATAATATTTATTCTGACAAGAAACGATCACAAGCCGGGGGGCTGGGGTCAGGCCCCTGGGAGTGGAACTGCAGTTTAGCCACATGTGATCATCTTTCTGAAACTTTCAGCTGCACTTGACTCTCCTCCGCAGAGAGCAGAGAAGGGCTGCTCTCTCCTTCAGCTCCCAGGCGACTCTTTCCACCCCTGCCCTTCTATATCGGGCGTATCTTCCGAATCCACCCTTGCTGCCAACATTTTGAACTTTTCAGCTGATATGAAGACAGCTCAGGCTACAAATGGAAACAGTGATTTTTTTAAAAACCCACGCTAGAGAAAGAGGCACGATCTTACATTTCTGGAGGGAGCACAGATGGAAGAGCCCCTTTAGAGGGCAGTTTGGCTGTTTGGACAGCCAGACGTCAGCTGCACGTGGCCTCTGACCCGGGTTCCACTTCTGGGAACTCATCCTGTGGATACGCACTCCCCTGTGGGCAAAGGGTCTTTATCGCAGCTGTTATCAACAGCAAAAAAAAAAGGGGGGGGGGGGCAGGGGAAACAACCTAGAGTCCATAACTAAGTGCCTGGATAAATAAGGTGCAGTTCACCTTGAAATGCACTAAAATGCAGCTGCTGAAACGTAGCAGATCTCCGCGCACTGCTCGGACAACCAGCCTGCTTACTGAGAAGGGCACAGTCGGCAGCGCACTCTAGCGTTGGTGTGGGGGAGAAAGAAGGAAACGGAGGATAGATATGAATACACCTGTGTTCTTGGGGCTTCTCAATGCTGGCACTTAAGACATTTGGGGCCGGACAGGTCTCTGTTGGGGGCAGTGGCAGTGGGAGGGCGGGCTGCCCTGCACATTGTAGGATGTTTGGCAGCAACCCTGACCTCCACCCCTAGGTGCCAGTAGCACCCACATCCCAGTTGTGGCAATAAAAATGTCTCCAGACATTGCACCGTGCCCGAGGGACAAAAATCACCCAGTTTGAGAACCACTGGGATGTACTTAGGCGAGCTCTCCACAGCGACTAAAACACAGCGGTCACCTGTGAGGAGCGGGTATAGAGGCAGGTGATCAGAGGGTTGCAGCCAGGATGGCTTTTCATTCCACATCGTTCTGTCCTGTGAACTTTCTCTCACCGTGTGCATTCACTGCTCATAAAAACACGGGAGCCCTGGCCAGAGTGGCGGCCTGAGCACTGAAGGATCCCGGGTCCAATTCCCGATCAAGAGCACGTACCTGGGTTGCGGGTTCGCTCCTGCCCCAAGTCGGGGCATGTGCAGGAGGCAACAACTCGATGTCTCTCTCACATCCATGTTCCCCCTCCCTCCCTCCCTCCCTCCCCCCTTCCACTCTTTCTGAAAAGCAACGGAAAAAATGTCCTCATGCGAGGATTAACCAAAACAAAACCAATAAAGCTTTTTAAAAGAGAAATATAACCACTTCTTTTTTCAGTTAAAACAAAAAAAAGGGAAAAAACGAAACAAAACTCCTTTGTTCCAAAGCTGCCGGGAGACTCTACCGGATGGACTTCCAGGAGCCACAAAATGGCAGGTCCTTCGGGGAACAACATTCAGACAGGAGACCCCAGCAGATGGTCTCCTGGCCGTCAAAGCTAGGCAGAGACCCTCCTCACTGCACTCACTGCAAAAACAAAAACCGAGACCACCTCTGGGAGACCCAGGCCCTGCTCTGCATCCGGCTCTCAGATGCCTGGCTGCCAAGGCCCTGCTTCGTGTGAGAAAGGAAGGACGCCTCCCGGCAGCCACCGGGAGGAACAGACAAGCAGACACGCTCCGTTGCTTGGGCGGCACCGGGCGCCCACCGTGGGGAGAGCAGCAAAGCACATTTTGTCACTCGCAGGCCCCGGAACTGCTGGGTGTGTCCAGCCCCAAGCAGACACCCTCTGTGAGATAAGAGATGAGGATTCGCAGGCCAGGCGAACCGGAAGGCAGACAAGAATCAGGGCCTCCTCTCTCTCCTAGTCTCACCAGCACGTCCTCACTATGATGACGAGTTAAGCCACAGGAGGAGCCGTGACAATCCTCCAGGGTTTGTTTGGCTCCTTGTTTGGAGCCGAGAGGAGAGGCTGTGTGCCAGCAGCAGGCTGAGGGCGGTCTGCGTAAACCTTCCCCTCGCTCATGCC